GTTAAAAAGACTTTCTCTATACCCAGACGTATCTCTCAGAGAAAGAAAACCAGTAGGACAAGTAGGATCTCTCTCTGTCTGTCTCTATTTCTCTCTCTCTATATATAATATACAGATATAATATATACACACATATATACATATATATCATGTATCTGTTTATTATATATATACATATTTTTCAAGGAATTAGGTCACATGATTGTGGGGGCTGGCAAGTCCAAAATCTTCAGGGCACATGAGCAGATTGGCAGCTCTTAGGCAGGAGATGATACTGCAATCTTGAGACAGAATTTCTCCTTCTTCAGGAAACCTCACCTTTGCTCTTATGACCTTTCAACTAATTGGATGAAGCCCACCCACATTATTGAGGGTAATCTTAATCTACTTTAAAAATCAATTACTGATAGAAGCCAACCACATCTACAAAATACCTTCACAGCAACATATAGATTATGTCTGATTGAATAACTGGGAGCTATGGCCTAGCCAAGTGGACACATAAAACTAGTCATCATATTGGGTAGGACAGTGAAAGTGTATTGCTGTCCTTGTCAGCTGATAGCAAACTACTCTGGTGGCCTTTGCTAACAGAACTTGTGACAAAAGCATTTGCCAGATCAATACTTGCATACTAGGTTCCAGGGGGCATAGTAATGTGCTCAAGCAATGACACTACATCTGGTACAGCAGCTGCAATTGGGGTCACCACCTGGTTAAGCTTAGGATAATTCACTGTTATTCTCCAAGATCCACCTGTCTTTGCAATGCCAAATATGTGAGTTGAATAGAGACGCCACTCCCGCATCCTTCAAGTCTTTGATGGTGGTACTTCTCACTGCAATTCATCCAGGTATGCAGTGTTGCCTTGGGTTTACTATTTTCCTAGGTAGAGGCAAATCTAGTGGCTTCCACTTGGCCTTTCCTTCAATAATAGTCCTCACAGGTCATGGAACCATTGTAGGGATTCTGCCAAGAGCTGAGTATGTCTATTCTAAAAATGCATTCTGGAACTTGAGAAATAACCATGGGGGGTGGGACAGATGGGGTTCAGGAATTGACTGGGCCCTCTGTGAGATGAACCTGAGCTAAAACCCTGTTGATCTCCTGATCTTCATAAACTCCTACTCTGACTGGACCACCAGTGATGTTTTAGGTCTCCCGAGATTAGCATCAGTTCAGAGCCTGTGTCCAACAACACCGAAAAAGTCTAGACAGTTCCTTTCCCCAGTGCACAGTCACCCTGATCAAAGGCCATGGACCCCTTTCAGGAATGCTGGCAGAAAGATTAACAGCACAAATTTTTGACATGTAGTGGGCTCCTACCTCAAAGGGGACTGGCGTCACCTTCGTTCAAGGGGTTCCAGGTCTGTAAACTGGCTAAAGTCTGGGAATTGATTCAGAAACCATGACTCTCTATATTTATAATTCAAATTAAACTTCAACTCACATTATTTAGAACTCTTCTGCTTATACTAATTAACTAAGAATTTAGTAGACTTTGTATCTATTTTTCTCCTGCGAACACCATGATCAAATAGCCAATACCGTAGATCTTTGTACGTCAGTCTCCACTTATTCTTTGACTCTGCCGTCCATTATGGTAGTCATGCTTACCTTGCCTTTGGTGATTAAGTGCCATCGCTAGGTCCCTGCCATCCCAGGATCCAGTTACTTCCCCTGTATCTCAGGTTTCCAGTTCAGTGACAGCAGTTCTCACTGTAATCTCTGGCCTACAGAGAAGAGCAAACACAGAGCTCTTCTAGGATACTGGCACTCCCTTCACACATTTGTTTCTCACAATCATGGTGAAAGGTGTGTCTTATAGACCTCTAAGGGTGACTGATCTCCATGGATTGGTTCAGGTCTCACAGGATACAGTACAACCTCTCTAACAGTTCAATCTCCTTAAGCCTTTGGATACATTTCCCTACAGTATACCAAGGCACTTCTGGTGTTTCAGCCTCATTCATTGTAGGCCACCTTCTGATCCATGTTCCAGTCAACCCACAAACAAACTGTTAGAGCCCATTTCTAATTCTCAAGCTACAACATTGAATCCAGAATCTCTCTGCTTAATGGGCCCATATCGAAAAATAAAATCTAACAATTTTCTTCCACCGTGATCACACTACCTTAATATCCACTCCCACATGTGGGCTCTTGTGAGCAAGGCTGTACTATGCTTCTTTCCAAAGTAGACCCTGTCTGCTCCCCTGGATGGCTGGGTCCTGGCTGTTCCACTCTCAATTGCTGGCCCTTTCTAGAAATCCCACTCTTAGGTCCATTTACAGGCAATGTTTCTGGATGTGTGTTAGGGAGATTGCAAAATTCTGATGACATAAATCAAAGAAGATCTAAATATTTGGAGATATATACTCTGTTGATGGATTGGAAATCTCAATACAGTAAAAATGTCAACTCTCTTAGAAATGATTTATAGATTTAATGAATTCTTATCAAAATCCAGACAAGTTCACTCTAAAATTTAGGTGGAAATGTAAAGGCCCCAGAAGAGCCAGTACAATGTGAGAAGCAGTGGAGAGGGAGAGCCACTCTTTCCTGGGTTAAGGCCTACTCTGTAATCACAGCGATCCAAACGGTGTGGTTTTGGTGACAGACACATAAATCAATGGAGAAGAATACAGAACTCAGAAATAAACCCACACAAATAGCCCAATTAACTTTTTTCAAAATTGCAAGAGCAATTCAATAAAAGATGTTGGAACAATTGGAGTTTCATTAGTAAAAAGATGCACCACAATGTGAACCTCATGTCTAATATAAAAAGTCACTCCAAATGGATCCTGAAATTAAAGGTTAATCATAAAGCTATAATTTTTTTGGAAAAAAATAAGAGAAAATCTTTGGATATAAGACTAGGCAAAGACGTCATGTACATGACACCAAAAGCATGATCCATCAAAGGAAAAACGGGTATATTGGATATTATAAAAATTAAAACTTTTAGTCTATGAAAAACTTCTAAGAGGATGAAAAGACACACTACACTCTGGGAGAAAAGATTTGCAAATGAGATATCTAGCAAAGGATATGCATGTACAAACACAAAAATTCTCAGAACACAGCATTAAAAATAAAATCCAATTATAAATGGACAAACTCATTTGTCTAACACTTTAATGAAGAGAGTGGACATATGGCAAATTCGCACATTCAAAGAAGTTCATCATCATTAGTCATGAGGGAAATGTATGTTAAAACCGCAGTAAGATATCACTATGCCTCTATTGAAATGGCAATTAAAAAATAATAATAAATAAAACACTAAACACTAGTGAGGACACAGAAAAACTGGAACACTCCTGGATCCTTCATACATCGTGGAATAGAAAATAGCACAGCCCTTCTGGAAAGTAGCTTGGCAGCTTTGTTTTTTTTAAAAAAAATTGGACTTGCCATATGATCCAGGAATTGCATTCTTGGGCATTTATTCCCCTACAAATGAAAACTAATTTTCAAGAAACTTATTCCAGAATGTTCACAGCAATTTTATTTGATAATTCCCCCAACTAGAAATGACCTAATGTCCAACAACGGGTGAATGCTTATGCAAACTGTGGCAATCATACCATGTAACACTGCTTGGCAATAAGGGAAGGGACTATTGATTCACACAATAAAGGGAATTAACTTCAAGGAAATTATGGTGAAAAAAGAAAAACTCAAAATGATGTATACATATGATTCCATTCACATAATATACATGTGATTCCATCCGTATATTATTGAAGATTCTCTTCATGTTGTGAAATAACATAGTTATAGAGATGGAGAACAGACTATTTGTGCCTGAGATAGGGATTAGGGGCTAAGGTGGCTCGAATGAATATAAAGTGGTAGAATGAAGGAGATTTGTGTTGATGGAACAGTTTTGAACCTTGACTGTGTTGGTGGTTATGCAAACACATATGTGTAATAAAATTTTATAGACTTATCCACATACACACACACACAAATAACTGGTAAAATCTGAACAAGATCACTAGATTGTACCAACATCAAATTCCTGGTTTCAGTAATGTACTACAGACTCACAAGATGTTAACTTTGGGGGAAGCTTGTGAAGGATGTGGAGGACCTACTTATACACTTACTTGCAATTTTCTGTGAATCTCTAATAATTTACAAATAATGAGTTTTAAAGAGATTTCTTAGCCTCATTTAGGATTCATGTGACCCAGTTATGAGCAATGAACCCAGATGGGTACTCTGGGGGAACTCTTGATTGAGAGCACTCTGGCCAATTCCTGTGTTCCTGTCTGATGCAGCACCCATTTCCCAAAGTGGAGCAGCAATCTGTAACCACAAAGTCACTAGGCTGAGACCCCAACAACATCATGGAACTACTGACCACCATTGGCCTGCCTACCTCTGGATTTCCCTAGACATGGGAAACAAAATCTCTAATCATCAGCAGCCACCATTATCTGGTTGCTGTGACACAGGTCCAGTAAAAATGATTTGGGAGGGGCTGGCCCTGTGGCTGAGTGGTTAAGTTGGTGCGCTCCGCTGCAGCAGCCCAGGGTTTCGCTGGTTCGGATCCGGGGCATGGACATAGCACTGCTCATCAGGCCAGGCTGAGGTGGCATCCCACATGCCACAACCAGAAGGACCTGAAACTAAGATATTCAACTATGTACAAGGGGGGATTTGGGGAGATAAAGCAGAAAAAAAAAAAAGATTGGCCACAGTTGTTAGCTCAGGTGCCAATCTTAAAAAAAAAAGATTTGGGATAAAGAAGGGTTAGTGAGGTGTGCTCTTAACTGGGGGCACTTCCCCTCTCCCTGTGTTGGTCCACCATAGAGTGACTAGTGATCAAGGCATCTACTTTCCTGACTGAATTAGGAGTACATGAGCACTGGAAGCCTATTGGCTTTGCTAACTGGTTTCTCCCAGTGCCAATCTCAGGCCCCAGAATATGGCATGTGTTTGTACATTGACTGGAGGAATGCATGAACAAAAGTCATCTGTCAAAATTGCTGACCCAATAATGATTATCCTCTTGCCAAGATACCTTTCCAGGGTACATCCAAGCCTCTCCCCCCAAACTTCTCCCACATCCTCAGGAGATGCCCAAGGCCCACAGTAAACGGTGATTTCTGAACAATATCTGGATCATAGGAGATGAGATCTGGGGTACCTGGCTGAACTAGTTGGTTGTGGGGTCACAATTCCCTCTAGAGAGTTTCTTGTCTTGAAAATGGAGATGTGTCAGGATAAGTGATTACAAGGGCCTTTTCACTCTACTCTGCAGATTCCATTCCAAGAGAAAGAATTTCACAGTGCTCAGTGCATTGACTTGAGCTGACTGGGAAGGTAGGCTGCAGCAAGGGATACTTGACCTGGACTCAGGGATTCTGAGTACCCTTTTAATGACTCTGAACCCACACAGATGTAGCATGGGAGCTTGCAGACAAGTAGAAGAAGAATATGACACTGGAGCAGAAGACAAGGGCCAGGATCTGAGGCCCCTTGTAGGGACATATGAAGAGCCTGGAGATAGTGCTGGGGCGACAGTGAGCCAAAGGCCCTCAGAGGATGCTCCCTGCTGGAGAAGGTGCTGGTGGGACTGGGCACACAGCTAGCACCTGCAACCAAGATTCATCCCTAGCTCTGCCCTGGCCTTGATGCATAGCCTGGCAAGCCTGGACCCTCGGAGAGCCCGGGCTGTTCCACTTGTGCAAAGTGCTGGCTGGACAGTGTGTGACACCATAAGCAGGGCCCATGGGAAAAAACAAGGGTAGCCTGGGGTCAGGGAGAGGGGGGCTGGTGGCGTGGCCGACCCAACAGTAGAGACGTGACTAGTTGATGGCCCGGAAGGTAAGGAGGGGGAGTGTGGAGGGCATCAATATGAACCGGTAGATCATCTTCACATCCTCTTGCGTTAGCGTCTCCACCACGAAGTTTTTCAGCACCTAGGACAGAGGCGCGGATTCCCCGAGACCAGCGGATCAGCCCCACGGTCCTGGCCCGGCTTCCCCCGCCTTCCAGGGCCCCGCTACGTGGGCACATCTAAAGGAGAAGCCCCCGGTCTCCAGCCAGGCCGCCCAACAGCCTCGGCCTCCCGCCCCACCCACCTACAGGCCACGCCCAGTCCGACCGCCTCCAGTCCCGGCCCGCCCCGCCCAGGCCCGCTCACGTGGTGCAGCAGAAGCAGCATCTCCACCTCCGCCAGGCGCCGCCCCAGGCACTGGCGCAGGCCAAAGCCAAAGGCCAGGTAGGGGAACCTGGTGCTGGAGGCCCTGTTGTCTAGCCAGCGCTGGGGATGATAGCGCTCGGGCCTCACGAACACGGCAGGGTTTCGACCCAGGGAGTAGAGCAGCACCTTGACTGTTGTCTGCAGGCAGGGGAGGAGGGGCAGGGTCAGCGGCCCGCTGGGCGAAGGTCACGTGGGCTTGGTGGCTGCTGGAGGGGCTGTGGGGCCTCACTCACCCCAGCCGGGATGTGGTAGTTCTGCAGCACCAGATCCGAGCTCACCTCTCGCTCCAAGAAGACACCCACCGGGTACAGCCTGTGGATAGGGGCGCCCGACAGGGTCCTCAGCTGTGACGGGGCCCGTCGCTTCCCTTCCGCAGCCTTCCTAGCCAGGACACACCTGCCAGGGGGCGCTCCCCTCCGCCCTCACAGGTGGCTTCTGGCACCAGGAGGTCCAGATCATGAGGAGCTGCCTCCGTGCACCTCCTGAGATCAGCCAAAGCTCCCCCAGCCTGAGCATCCCCGGGCCGGGGAGGACACCGCTGAGGATGGCACCCAGGACACTGAAGTGGGATCCCAGAGGAAGAAGCGCCCGTCCCCTTAGGGAGAGGAAGAGGAGGTGCTGGGGGATGGGGCCTTGGGCAAGGCTGCTTATCAGCCCCGGGATCCCTCTCTGCAAGCCCCAGTGAGGCTGCTCTCCAGACGGAGCCACCGCAGTGGGGGCAGCCAGCGTCTGCCACACCTACCTCAAGGTCTCCTTGAGGGCCGCGCGCAGCAGGGGCAGCTCCGTGGTCGCCCTCCGGGGATTTTCAGAGATCCCGGCCTCAGCCACCAGGCTCTCCTGGCGAAGGGCCTGCTGCACTTTGGGGTTCCGAGCCAGCTCAAAGAGGGTCATTAGTAAGGGGTAGGCCGTCTGCAGGAGCAACAGGTGCAGGGCTCAGACCTCAGCAAAGGCCATGCACCTCAGACCCAGGCCACCCAACCCAGGAAGACGGCCTTCCCCTGGGGGCACGGTCGTCTCAGACCCACTGTGATGTGCATGCCCAGAGCAGGACAGAGCCTGGGGATGTGAGACCTCGAGATCCTAACACCCATCTCATCTCCTTTCCCTGACTCGCTCAGGAAAGGAGTCCCATCTCAGTGAGGACCCAGGCCTCCTCAGGGCCTGGTTCTCACTCTTCTGCGGGATGGGAGGGGCTCACTTTTGCCATTTATTTCAGGGAAAGGGTTCAGGAGTCCAGGTCCATCTGCTCTCCATGGGTGATCTCCTCTGGGCATCCACAGGCAGGCCAGCCCAGCCATCATGGTCATAGCACGAACTGGCCACCCCGGAACCCCAACCAGTTCTTCCTCCTGGCTCATTTCCATGTGTTGGGAGAGGCGCCCACCAGGCCAGCCCGAGATCTGGGGGCTGAATATCTCCTGAATGCCAGTCCCCCGGGCAGTGTGCCCCTGGCCTCGCCTGACATGCAGCAGTGGCCTCCCGCTGCCCCTGAGCTTCAGGCCCTGCTCTACCTGGTGGCACACAGGGACACTTAGGGAGCAGCTCTGACCAAGATGCTCTCCCACTGCCTTCCTCCAGCCTTGGAGATGGGCCTGGTGCCCGAGGCCCTTCCTGATGGGGCCCTGACCCTCGCTGCCTCATCTGCCCAGTTGCCCTGTGTCCTCCACTCAGCCTCCCTCCGTCGCTCGCTGTCGGCTGTTGGAGGCCCTGCAGCACTGCCCTCACCTCCTCCTCTTCATGGCCTGTCCGACTTCTCGGTGGTTCTTCCACACTCAGCTGAAAGGCCCCCTCCTCCCGGGAGCTTTCCCAGAGCTGCCCCTGAGACATGCCCTCCCCTGGGCTCTCTTGCGGTGGCTGCGTCTCAGCCTCTGCTCAGGGAGTTTCTCACTGCGAGTCTGTGCCCTGCTCAGAATCCCGGGGCTGGGGCCAGAGCAGGCCCTCCAAGATGCTGACAGATGAAGGCTGGGTCTGAACCGCGAAGCTTCGGCTACACTCCACACCCTGGGGCTCGCCCTGCCCACCATGCTGGGTTGCCATCTGTCCTCTCCTCCAGGAGCTGGAGGCCTGTGCTGTCATCAGCTTGTCCCCTCCAAGGATCTTTAGTGACAGCCAGATGTCACCTGTCACTGGGAAGGGTCCCCTGTGCAGCCCTCCAGCTGCCTCTCTGCCCTTCCTCCTCTTCCCAGGACCCAGACTGTCCCACTGGGGTCTGTGTGGCTGCACGTCCCCAGGCTCTGTCCACTCTGCACTCTGCCTGGAGCTCAGTTTCCCACGTAACTAACTGCAAACTCCGTCCCTTCCAGGGTGGGCTCCTGTGTTCCCTCCCCTCCAGCCTTCCATCAGTTCAGAAGCTGAGGTCAAGGTCAGCAGTCTGGAGGCACAGTGACTGGGGTGAGGGGCAGGTTTGGAGGGGGAATATGCAGGAGACAGCCGGCATGGGAGGGTGCTGCCTGGGGTTAGGAGGGCCCCCTGTTCTCTGGGCAGGGCTGGTTGCTGGCCTGACCGTGTCCACGCTCCCGGCAGTGAGGTCAATAGAATTGGCCCGGATGGCATCCAGGCTCATGTCCGCACGCAGCAGCAGCTCCGCCACGATGCCACTGTAATGCCGTGGGTGGCCGAGGGCCAGCTCCTGATAGATTTTCTGGATGGAATTGTTGGCTGTGGGGCACAGAGATGGAGGCCCTGGGCCAGGTGCTGGGAGGCACTTCATGCTGTCCTCCGACCCGCCAGCCCTCAGCACCCCCAAGTCTCCCTGCTCTTGTGCCGGGTTCTAGGGATCAGCCCACAGATCACTGCCAGCTCTCTCGGGGACACAAAAGCCACAAGCCCCTTATGTGGCCTCAGTTCTCCTGGACTGTGGTAAGTGGAAGTTGGGGAGCCTCGTGTCCCCACCACGCAGCACTGGCCGGCCCCTGGGCCTCACCATACTGGAAGATGTAGTCCCAGGCCTCAAAGTGCTCCTTCCACGCCTTGGTGCTTGTCCAGCGTGACAGGCTTCTGGGCATGAACATGAGCTGGACGGTGGATTTGAACATGGCCTCCAAAGCACGGATAAAGTGCAGGCTGGCAGGGCTCGGGCTGTGGCCAAGGAGGCCCAGCCGCTCTCCAAAAAGGGCTAAGTTGCTTGCTGCAGGGAGGATGCCATTGCTGAGCCTAAGGCAGCCGGGGCCTCACAGCTGCCTCGCACCGGCCCTCCCGCCCCAGTTCCTGGCCTCCTCCAGTGTCCCCGAGCCCGCACCGCCCCTTGTGCCCCACACCTTCTATGGTGTAGTGGAAGATGCTGGGCCGGGCATCCAGGGTCAGACTCCCCCGGGCATTCTGCAGCACCTTCGATTTCAGGGCCTTTGAGAAGTCCCTTGCCACCCCATCCACCATGGGGATGTACTTCTCAACAGCCTGTGGTGACAGCACGTCTGGGTTCAGCCGCAATCGGTCATAGCGCCATTCGGGCCCGTTTCTGTCGAGCCAAGAGCAGAGCTTCAGGGCAGCCTGAGTCAGCAGCTGACCCCCAGCCCCAGAACCCCATCTTCCTTATCCCCAAAGGGAAACGAGCGAGGCCGGGAGCTGCTCCTGGCCCTCGGGGGCAGGCTGTCGCCTTTGGGCCCCAGCTGCAACCCTTTCTTCCAGCGAGGTTGAGAGTGCTGTGCCCAGGGTGCTCAAGTCTGCAGTGGGGCTGGGACCAGAGCTTCTGGCAGGACGTGCTGTGTGGGCTCACTGAGTCTGCTCGTGCAAACTTGCAAGCCCGTGCCCGGCCCACACATGCGCCATCCCGGCCCTCCCTGGGTGTGGAGGCCTTTTCTCCGAGGAAGGAGGCCGGCCCTGCTCTCCAGCTTTGCCCACCTTGCTCACTCCATGCCCCAGAGAGGGAGAGGCCCTTCGCGACCTTCCTCTCCCCACCCTCCCCGTTCCTGAGAATGTGGCCTCTGGCCGGTCGCCCCTCCTCCTCTCCCTCTACGGTCTCCAGCTCCTCTACGGCAGGAACCAAATTGTGCGTCTCCTTAATGTGCTCAAAACAGAGCCCAGAGCACATGAGGGGCTCCAGGGATGTCCTCATGAGCGACGGAGGGATGTGCATTCTCAGCCGGGGTGAAGCGCAAACACCTGCTTTTCTGCAGCGGCTGCCTGTAGGTATTGAGAACGAGCACGTGCACACACATGCACATATGACACACAAGTGCAAGCACGTGCACACAGCAAGATGCACACAGATGTGCACACACATCTATGCTAACACAGAGGACACACATAGGAAAACACACTTGAACGCAGACACACAATTCTCACATTCACAGTGCACAATACACTTACTCAGACACCCAAAACATGCATGCACACGCAGACTCACATACACACATGCACGCAGGCACACATAAACCCACATGCAGGCACAAACACACGTGCAAGCACAGGAGACACATGACCAACACAGGCAGTGGCACGAACACATACACAGCACACACATGAGCACAAACACAAGAAAGTCAACATGGGCAACCACATATCCATCCACACACATGTAGCACCATCCACACACAGGAGCACATGTGCACACACACGGCACGCATTCTCAGGCAAGCACAGAGGTCCACACAAGCAGACACCGCAGATGTGCATGCCGCTGCTCACCCAGCCTCCTACCCTGAGCTCAGCCTCTGGGCAAAGGCGCCATCAACCTGCTGTCCACTGTCTCCCCATCCCCAGGGCTCTCCCCTCCTGAGCAAACTGTCTCAACCCCAAGACCCTTGGGGCCTGCGTGGAGGGGGCGCTCCCCCATGGTGGCTGCCATCCTTAGTCCTCTCGCTCTGCAGAAAGGGGCCCACCTGTGTGGCTGCTCCCCTTCCCCAGCCCCAGGGCACGATGCCCCCATGGGATGGGCACTCATGCATCGGGGGCTGTGTCCCCCTCTCTCCACTCGCCCAGATAGGCCCCAGGGCAGGCTTGCTTTGGGGTCCTCCCCGTCTCCCTCGTCTCTGCACCCAGGCTGCCCACCTCCCATCCCAACTGGCTCTCACAGCAAGAACACACCATATTTGTGCCCACAATGCTGTCGGTAGGCCAGCCAGGGCCCCACGGTCGCCCGCCTTGGGTGGTGGCTCTCCACCTGCTGCAGCCTCTTCACATCCTCGGGCAGCATCACAAACACCGTTTGTGTCCCTCCCATGTGGTACCTGTGGGACAAAGCGCAAAGCCCTGCTGTGGGGCCGTGTCCTTCCCTGTGCCCGCTGGGCAGAAGCAATCCAGACTGTCTCCTGCTGACCTCCCCGTTCTCCTGGACTGGGGCTCAGAACAGGCGGTCCTCTCGCTGTCTCACTGAAGCCTCTCCCACTCTAGTGTCTGCGTTCTGTGCACTCAGCGGCAAGCCGTGGAGTGCTGCATCCTCACCAAGAGCCACTGTCTCCACCAGCAGAGCTGCCCCCTCCCCACCCCGCCGGCCCTCCTGAGGATGCAGAGCACAGGGGCCTGGCGAGGATGCAGCAGCTCAGGGCGCCCAGCAAGCACTCACAGTCGGTAGGGACAGAGGCTTGGCGTGTTCTCAGCGCGCAGCAGGGAGGGCCGTACCTGAAAATCGGCCCCAGCTCCTGGAAGGTCTGATGTATCTCCAGGTGAAGGTTCTCGGAGCCCTGCTCCCTCCAGATCTGCAGCACCCTCATCCACCTGTTTCCCGGACACTCGGGTATGGCTTCGAAGGGCAGCACCGCCTTCGGGGCGGGAGTGGCTCTGGAGCCCAGTGAGTGTGCCCAGTGCAGGGACAGCAAGGACCCTGCCAGACGCACGTCTGCCTTCGCCCTGAACGCCATCCCTGAGCTCCTGACCCTCCTTTCAGCTCAATCCTTTTATCTCGCCTGAAGGCTGGACTGGCCGACTTGATCACGTCATGGAAGAAGTCAGCCCTGGACCCAGCCAGGAGACCTGGGCAGGGGTCAGGGCTGGAGGCCTCCAATGGGAAGAGGCAGAAAGAGATGGATGGGCACCTAGTGGGGCAATTTCGCAAGGCCTGCTGGGGGTGGATATCAGCGCAGGCGCAGGGTCTGGATGGGGGCTGAGTGGGGGTGGGTGGGGCAAGAGGGCTCTTCCCACTCCCCAGTGGGGGAAGGAGCAAGATGGATGGTCCCTTATCTTATCAAGAGATGAGAGGGGACCTTGGGTAGTTTCATCTCCTTCCTACATGGCCCAGGACAGGGAGGAGTTGGGAGGGGTTTGTGATAATTTCTTTAGTCCACATGCATTTTATCTGCTAGTCCCCAGGCCTTGTGTTGGGTGCAGGGAGTGGAGACATGAGCCAGCAAGGGTCCCTCCCAGTGAGGGCTTTCAGTCCCGTGAGAGCAGTTAGGGGATCCAGAGACACAACTGGGGGGCACTGATGTGCCCGGGGCCGAGTCTGTCGGGGCTTGCACTTCCAGCTAAGGAGAAGTGAAGACCCAGGAGACAAGGGTCGCTGAGGGCTGGCTGCAAGCCACTCCTCAGGCAGAGATGACAGGTGCCACTTGCCTTGGTCCGTGCTTGCCCCCGGGGCCCTGTGCTCTGGCCACACACACTCCTTCCTCATCCTAAGGCTTGTCTCAGAGGTACAGACTCTGAGCTCAGGCAGATGGCGGGAGGAGCAAGGTTGTGAGTGGGGGTGTGGACGTGCGCTACCCGCTCTCCCAGGCATTCTTTCCAGCAGGCACACAGTGGAGCCGACCCCCGGAAGGTAGATCCATGGTTTGGGATCTCGTGTCATCTCACTAAATCCTGTCGGCATGCCCATGAGGTGGATGTCACTGTCATTGTTCCCATTTTCAGATGAGGAGACTGACCCGCGGGGGTTCCGTCACCTCCCAAGGTCTCTGGTGCATCAGAGGGCCCCCGAGCGCTCGGTCCTCAGCCCTCTTCAGCTGTGTCCACAAGCCCTGACTCTGATTTCGGGAGGGCACACTGGGGAGCCATAGCTCAGGCTGGGGAGGCAGATGGAGAGTGTGTGTGGGTTTGAGGAGGAGGGGCAAGATCTGAGTGGCATTTTTAATTTTTCCTTGAATTGAATCCATTCCCCCCTCCTGAGCCTTCCTTGGACGATATTCAGCTGGGGCAGTGAGTCAGAACTGCCAAGGCCCCTTCAGCAAGCATCTGACATGTATGATGTGCCTCAGCCCCAAACGGTGTAAGAGCTGTCCTTGGACAGAGACGCAGGCTGGAGTGACTGCCTGCCCTTGGTGTGGAGGTCATCAGCCACGGCCATGCTGGACACTCCTCCTATTGCCCGTCCCTGCCTGTGTGCCTCCGCCCCACACCCTCTCGGCCTCCCCTGGTCTGTTCTCGGGCTTTCGGGGCTGTTGCCATGTGCCAGCTTCCCATGTCCCCACATGGCCTGCCACAAGGAAGCTGGGGACATGGGTCAGCCCAATGCCAGCCTCTCCTGCCCAGAGGAACTGCAGAGACGGCTGCAACACGAGGTGCCGGCACCAAATGCCCCTGTACTTGCACTGAACTCCTGGTGCCTCCCAGACCCCAAGCCCTGAACCCAAGGCGCAGGTCCGGGAAGAGCCTCCTGCAAAGCGTCACCATCGACGAGGACATGAGGTTTCTGAGAGCGCCTGATCCCCGTGTCAGCCCTGCACTGCCCTGTCTGCCCCAGCGGTCTGGCAGGCCCTCCCTGGAATCTTCCTCCTGCGGAGGAGATCCTGTGCCGAGGCCGAGCTGGGATGTCTCCTCTAACGTGGAGCTGGGGGCCAGGGCTCACCCATCCCGAGAGCACAGAGAGGGCCTGAGAGGGAAATGCCCAGCCCTGACATCCTCCTGTCCTGCTGAGGGTGTGCCAGTGTCCTATGCAGAAGTACACAGGTCACAGGCATCACAGGGCAAGGCATCCATGAGTATGGTGGACGTTCCTAAGGTCCACTGTCAGGAAGAGGGGCCATCAGCCTAGGGGCACACTGTGCCCCCTCCCCCTTCTCTGCCAAAACGCTGAGATGTGTGGGCCCCCTGGAGCACATCCAGCTCAGCCCCCCTTCCTGCCCAGAGCAGGACCTTCTTCCTCCCCTGGGAGCTGGGTCCCAGCTTCTCCACCCTTCATCCCTGGTCCTTCCCTGTCCCCAACTCCAGGGACTGAGCCTGAACCCCCAAGAAGGTTCTCAGACTCCTTCCCCTAGGCTAGGGCTGTGGGACGCCACCCCAAACCCAGCCCAGACCAGCACCCACCGCTGGCCCGTGGCAGGGCTCCAGGAGCCTCTGGCCCGGAAGTCTGAGCTCTTCGTCGCCCCCTGGAGGCAGTTAGGTCAACTGCAGCTGCGCCTCTTGAGCCCAGCCCCCAGGACCCTCAAGGGGTGGGGACTTGAAGAAACAGGTGGCCCCTCTTCTTGGAGTACTGGATACCATAGGATCCAGCAATTTCCACTGCCAGGTCCATGCTGTTAATAACAGTCTGTGTGCAAGAGAAATAGACAAAGAAAAATGGGGAAAAGGCCACCGAAATGCCCTGTTGGGAAGAAGGGTTTTAGAAAGTGGTACATTCCCGCAAGCGAAATTTTTTTTTTTTAAGATTTTATTTTTTCCTTTTTCTCCCCAAAGCCCCCCAGTACATAGTTGTATATTCTTCGTTGTGGGTCCTTCTAGTTGTAGCATGTGGGATGCTGCCTCAGCGTGGTTTGATGAGCAGTGCCATGTCCGTGCCCAGGATATGAACCAACGAAACACTGGGCCGCCTGCAGCGGAGCGCACAGACTTAACCACTCGGCCACGGGGCCAGCCCCTCCCGCAAGCGAATTTTAAGAGTGATGGAGACGAGTGTTCCCCTTTCAGTCACATACTTATCGTAATAAGAATGAACAGCCGTGTAACGTGCATGAGGGAAGGCACTGCGCTCTATGGCATGCGCACCATGGCACCTCTGACAGCTCTGGAAGGGATTATTACAGGACACACGACGAGAGGGATCACCAACAACAGAAGGACTCGTTAGCAGGAGAACCTTGAATAAAAAAGGACAACGCTCAAAGTTCACGGTATCTTGACACACTTTGTGTAGAGTTTCCAGCACAGCTGAGGACTAAGTCTCTGCACTAAATAAACTGGTCAACTTGAGGGTCACAGGCTTGAGAAAGGCAGAGGGCGTGGGGGCGGGGGGGGAGGTTGGGTGCAGTGTTCATTCCATGTTAAAGATCAGGTCTGGGAAAAGGCCCTGGAATTCCAGGCCTGAAGCCCTGAGCCGGTGGTGCACAGGTGCCTTCGCAGCGGGCCTGCTCCGGCGGCCAGGACCCACCAGTCTGCTGACAGGTCACGTGTACAGTGGCCTCTCCCCACCTGTGAGCTGTAGACCCGCAGAGGGCGGGACCCTGGCCACCTGGTCTAGCGCTGTGAAGACACGGAAGGTCCCTACAGCTCTTCCAGCCGGGGAGCTGCAGCCGGGCTCCAGCAGAAGAACAGGCTGACAGTCTTTGCCCTCATAGAGCTCATGCTGCGTTGTAATAAACCTCAGGAAACAAGCCAGCACACTGTAAACCAGAGAGCGCACCAGAAGCTATTCTGCAGCTTTTGCATCGAATCAGACCTCCTGTGCAGTTCCTGCGGGCAAACTTTCTCTCAGGGAAGAAAGGGGGTCCCAAGTGCAGCATGCTAGCCTTCTACCGTTGTCTTGCCCGCTGGACCAAGCACTTGGCCTGGCCTCATGGGTTCCACGGCTGACTCGGGTGAAGACTCAGTCAGTGTTTCTTGGATGAACAAATGCGTGCATTTCACCCTGACCACAAACAGCCCTCGTGTGCAGAGACCAACTGCCACGCAGGCCCTGCGCCCCCTCCTCACTGGCTTCTTTGATGCCCTGGAGAGCACAGGTGCCTTCCTAGGAACCATGAGCATCCCTACACCTCTGTGCCTTTGCACTCCCCATTTCATCTCCAGGATCACCTCCTGCCCGTGTGGCTCTGTGTTTCGGTCATTCTGCTCACGTTCTAGCTGTTGTCCTCCACATTTAAAACTGCAAAGCTCACTGCAATTGGGTCTCCATCAGGCTGCAGCCAGCAGTGGGCAGGAGGGCTGTGTGTGTGTGTGTGTGTGTGTGTCCTGCCACCTCTTATTTTTCTCCTTATGCCATCCAGCTTGCTAGCCAGTTTGAGATGGATGGAGTGTAAGAGGGTAGGAGAGGTTGCTGAATCTTGCCATCCTAGACTGAACTCAGCTCTCTATACCAGGCAGGTGGTTAGGCCGGACACTTCCTCTGGTGGGTGCTTCTAGAGTGGAGATCTCTCTTGCAGTGCCCTGACCTCCCCTCATGCATCTCTAGCCCAAGTGGTCAATTGAGAAGCTTCTGGAAGCCCGGAGACTCATGCGGAGTGTCCCTCTCCACCTACAGCTGCTCTGGTCCCTCCATCCCTCTAGGGAGCCTACTGAGCAGGTCGACCCATGCTGGCTCTCTGTCCTGGGGGGCCCTCATCTGGTCCGCTGAAGACACTAGTGCATCTCCCACCATGGATGCGTCTGTGTCCTTTTGGGTAATACTTGCTGAGATCGACTTTTCAATCCTGTGACTTTCAACCTTTCCGTAACTTGTATTTCAGATGTTACTCCCTTAAACACCATATTGCCCTATCTTGTTGTTTTATGCAGTCTCGCAGTCTTTGTCTTTTAACTCTCACGTTCATTCTGTTTACGTATATTGTGATAGCTCATGTATAATGATTATTTATACTTTATCTTCTATTTTCAGTTTACCTCGTTACCCATTTTTTCTTGTTTTTTGTTGTAGTAAAATACACAAGATGAAATTTACCATCTTGACCACTTCTAAGGATACAGTTCAACGGCATCACACAGCCAGCTTGTTGTGGATCCATCCCAACCA